CATGCAGCTCCTGTCAGGCCGTCCCCATGAGAGCTGCTGCTCAGCACAGACTGAGCCACCTCTTCTGGCTCCAGAGGGAAGGGCAGCTCTGTGCCAGCAGCTGCCAGCAGGGCTGCATACAGCCAAGTCTTCAGCTTTGAGCCTGGGTTGGAGGGCTTCAGATTTACACAGGCCTCAAGCTTCCTCTCTTCCTATCTATGAGTGAAGCAGCCAGCAGAGCTCAATTAAACAATGCTTTTCTACTTCGATGTAAGCTATTCCTACATTTGCTTCTTTGCTAAAGAACACTAAGCATAGCACTTTAAGATTGTAACAAACTGACCTCAGCTTCATCCAACAGACCCTTTTCCTGGAAGGCTGCATGATCCTGTCACGATGCATCAGGAAGCTCAGTGCACAGACTATTTTAAGCTGTGCCAGTCCTGTCCCTGTACCACACACTGGGCTCTTTCTAGCTTGACATATTATTATTGCTCACCTTTCATGCATCTTTACTCTGTCACTGTTTCCAGACACAGCATACTAGGAGCCTTTTAAATCAAAGCACTGAGTATGTTGTTAATCTTGTGTGTCTTAGCCCAAAATTACTGACTTAACTATCAAAATAGCCTGAGAGCAGATAAAACAGGTCATCCTGTTTGGAAGCAATCCTTGATTTAGCTGCTCTTACTCTCTATTGTAGAGCAGGGAAGTCCAGCTCCTTCTAATTGCTGGTGAAAACTGCAGCCATCCTTTGTCACTGGGGGACAGCAATGGTTTGCACATTTATATCCTGCACTGCTTGATTAAAAAATGTGCAATGAAGGGTTTAGAGGGTACATATTTGAACTAGTCTCCACCCTGCTGATTTTGCACTTGGTAAAGTGTCTGGCAATAAAGCAGTGCATTGTTGGGACCATTTGGTTACCCAGCAAATGTGGTACAGAGCCAAACAGAACAAGCACTCTGCAGCTAGCTTTGGTTTCAGCAGTAAGCAAAATAAGACAAAGCAGATTATGCATGGTCTTTTTTGATTCGTTTTCAGGGTCAGAAATCTTTGCATGAAGACATGTGCAGCTCTGTTGGCTTTGTGCATGCTTGATGCTTCCAATGGGAATTTCACTGACTCAAAGACCTGCAGGGAGGTGTGGCATTTCCCAGGGAAATGCAGCTATAAATACTGGTGAGACAAGGCAGCAGTGTCTGTGTAGAGTATGGATAATGTGATTTACATATGTGATAACATATGACCAGTGGTTATGTGTGTTTTTAACGAGGTGTTTCCTGGTGTTTACTCACCTGTTTGTTTGCTGGCAGGCCAAACTGCAAATTGGGTTTGTGAGGGTGTTGACAGTATGCAGACAATAGTGGAAAATATGAGTGGAATGGTCTGTAAATTTGTGTCCATTTCCCTTCTTTATTTACTAAAATATTAATGTGTTTTGGCAGTTGGTTTCAGCAGGGATTTACTTACCCTCCCTTCCGCTAAGGCCACTGTCAATCTAGCTGCCCCTGTAGCCCCAACACTCTTGTCTACTGAATGAGCTCTTGTTAGTCAAATAATGAGCTATTTGCAGGCTAGAAGGACCTCACTGAAGCATTTTATTGTTGCTTGTAAAAATTAAGTGATGTTAAGTACAGTGGGCTGTAAAAATTAGGATGCTGTTTCCTAATATGCTTCTCTGTTACAGAAGCCAAAGCCTGACTTGTTTAGATAGCAAGAAAATGGGTTGCATGGCAATCTGTAGGATACAGGTCTGTAGGATACAAATCTGTAGGATATGAGTGTTGTTTAGGTTATGTATAGACAGAAATGAAGGTGAAAAGGGAAATGTTTTTACTCTTGCTGACATGGGGTGGAGCACGCGTGGATGTGATGTGGGCATCAAAGCCTCATTTGTTGAGCCTCATTGAGTTGTGCTGGGAACTGTTACAGCATGGTAGAAGTGTACACTGTTACTACAACCTGTAATTACAGTTTGTATTGCAAATTGTAATCTTAGTGTTGGTTGGTAGGTGAGCAGCTACAGTGAAAGGAAAAGAGAATTTGGAAAATCATCTCTGCGGTTCCTGAAACTGAAACTAGAGTATAGCTGACCTGTAAAGGACTTGGCCACTCATCTGTTATCTTAAATTTGTCATCTTTTTCTTATGCAATTCTATCACTGGCTGAGGTGCTGTGAAATTCGATGCATTTTATGCAGCATAAATATTTAACAGCTCTAGAGCATGTAGTTTAATATTAAACAGACAGTCATATAAATGCTTGAGAATTATAGATGCTGTCACATTACATGGAAATAGTTTGATAGGATCTAGGAGAACTATTTGGGTTTGACAGGGGAGGAAATGATGGGGTTAGAAGAAGTCAGTCTCATTTTAACTACTAGAGAAGCACATGGAAAAAAAAAAAAGGAAAAAAATAGTTGTGCAGCTTCTGTTCTTGAAAGGCAATTTAGGTAAGTTTCCTCCCCCTCAGGAAATAACAGAGTGGTTCCCACCCCACTTTCTTCAAGGAATGAAAACATTCACCATCTTGAGAAAACAATGCGGGGAAAGTAAAACAATTTAGGAACTAAAGTTTAGTCAGCAGATACCCCCAGATTGGAACCAACAACCTAGTCAGTGTGCGGTTATCATTATTAGAAAGATAAGTGGGTCATAAATGAGGATTTACATCCTCTTTAGTCTTGTTTTTTGAAGTCCATGAAAGACTTTCTATCACCTAAGAGAATCTGAAATTTATTATTAGCATTTTTGCTTAAAAAAAATAAATAAATGCAGAGCTGACCAGCTGCCATTGTAAGCTGAGAAGCTGAGCTTCATTGAAATCAGGCTGTGTGTAAGTCAGTGACCACTGTCTGCACTACAGTGGTTCAGAAAGAATGAAAACTGCCCTATGTGAGATTTTGGAGACTATTTCAGTTCTCAATTCTGCCCACTTCCTGTGCAATTCCTGAAAGTCAATTCTGTCCCCAGCAGGTTCTCAAAAGTCTTGTGGGGTCTAATTTCCTGTGAAATCTTCTAAATGCATTTCTGAATTAGCCCCTCTGGGCCTCTGCTCCCATCTCTGTAAAGAAGAGATAAAGCAAAACTGAGAAATACTTGTTAAAATGCAAACGACTAGTAATTTTTGAGACTTGGGGATAACAGAAGTGCTTATGTGGGATGTGGGTTTTATTCCATGGGAAGCTGAACCATAAGTGACACAAGAAACAAAGTCTTAGGTATGTTTACAGCTCACCTCTCAGCAATGCAGGTGGGTTCTCTAAGTTATGTCAAAACAAATGTTTTCTGTACGTATCCTGAATCTTGGGCATTACTTTCAACACTTTACAGCACTCAAACATCTGTTTTAGTGTTTTCTGCTGGCTTCAAAAATATCATAGTTTACATCCTACTTCTAAAGTAGTGTTACATTACAAGGTCATATTTTAGCTCTGTGATATATTCTGAAAATTAAAGCATGATTAAAATGTCCAGTGCAGTAGAGTTACCAAGAATAATCCTACAAAGAAACGTGGGCCAGCATCTTGCATAAACTGTACTTCAGTTTATAGCTTTGAAATGCAAAAAGACAAGAGACCTTGGAGAAATGCATAGAATGTTGGATCTTACATCTAGGCTGCAGAGATTTCTTGGAAGGTGGCCCTTAACCACTGGTTTATTTTCATCTTGGAGCACGTCTTAACCTAGCACCTTCAGCAGTACCTTGGCTCAAGTACAAAGTTTGGTGAGGAGACAATGATGAGTTTTAATGAATCAGCATCTTCCAAAGGAAAGTGATGTTTCACTGTGATGTTCTTACCTGGTTGGACTTCTAGTAGAGATTCTGTCATCTTCCCTGTCAGCCTGCCCAAGTTTTTCACTGATTTGGAAACAAGCTGTACTTTTGTGTGTGATGGCAAAATCCTGCTGCAGTCTTTTAAGGTGTATAATACCACAGTTTCAGTTTGTTATTTTAAGTTAACACAGCCAAGAGGTATGAAAAGACTCCAATTCTGTGCTCATTTTTTCTCCCATTGGCCAGGTATAGATAGAGTGCATCTGAGTTACAAATGTGGTTACTTCAAGCCATAACCTTAAGTGGTTGGGGTTTTCCAACACTGATGTCAATGACCAACCAAGATAGAAAGCCAGTCCCAAAATGATTACAGTTCAAGGGTGACTGACCTTAATACAGTCCACAGAAGAGCCCTGCTGTGCTTAACACTATGAAAGAAGACTGTGCTTACTTAGGATCAGGAACAGTCTGAGAAGGCATGAAGAGTGTGGGAAAGAAAGAGGAGAGGTCATCTGCTGCAGCAGGAGAGCTGGTGGCAGCTCCAGCTCAGAGCTGTTGACAAGGAAAGCCGAATTGCACAGGGCATGTAATGGAACAACAAGGACCAGGTATAAAGAATAAACTTTGTGGGCCCATTGCTGCTTTCTTCCTGGGTCCCCACAGAGAACACAGGATCCATTCTCCTCACTGCCCTCAGTAGCAAGAAGTGCAGAACAGCATGTTGCAGAGAGCAGCTTCTCCCTGGTGACACTGCAGTCCCCACTGGTCCTCATCAGTCACCTGGGAGCAGTTGTCTGGAACAGCAGCAGGTCTTCAGGAGCTGAAAATTGAACGACAGCTTTCCTTTTAATTTAACTTTTATCAGTGGTGACTGTTTACATTTATGCTGTCAAGTCTGAAGGACACCGTTCAAAAGCCATTGTGTACACAGTCTTGTTACTGGCTTAGGGAAACAGTTGTTATGTTTGAATGCCTTTGGGGCCTTCCCAAATCCTTGTCAATTAGTGTTGCAATATTACTTGGCATGTTCCAACAGTTGTCAGAATTGCTATCAGACACCATTGTGAAAGGGTTTCAGCTTTATGCTATAGTGCAGGACAGTTATTAACATCCTGTCTCTTTAGAAACTGTTAGGAAACAGGCACCTGGATTTAACAGGCTGGTATGTTGTTAAGAAGTCTATTTCTCAGTGAAGAAGTGCGGCTCTCTCATGTCAGTCCTGTTTTCTCTCCTATAGGGTGAACCAACTTGTGATGCCACCAGCCTCTGTGAAAGTCTGAGATGGTGAGTGACCCAAACCAGCAACTGGTTTCAAGTTAATCATCTTATTTCTTTTTGTATCAGTTGGAAAGAGGTTAATCTTAGATAGCCATGATCTGTACCTTTGATACCAAATCAGAGCAAATGAAGAACAGGAAAACCAAGGGTCAGCTCAAATACCCTTTGTTGCACTGATTGATTTCCAGAAACCTTGTGCTTTCCTTTTTAAGCAGATAAGGACATGCAACCCCTATCACCCTGAGGAGCACCAGATGTGGTTGTCCAAAGCCAGAATATAGGCTTTGCCTGAGTGTGTCTTGCACTCATAAAACCTCCTGCTGCTTTGCTCTTGGCCTAAAATTTGCTCACTACCACATGACCATGCCTAGCACATTCCAAATTCAAAACTCTCTGTTGAAAAATGCTTTCTGGAGCACAAGAACTTGTGTGTTGTTGCAAGGACCACCCCCCTGCAACCCTAAGGCTATGGTTGTAAGCCAGAGGAGCCCTACTTCCAATGCCCTTTCTTCTCCCCTTTGTTCATGCTATTCTTATCACTTTCCAACAGTCACAGCATTGCAGCTCAGAGCTGCAACAATTGATAAACACTTCCCAGCAGTTTACTGTAGCCAAAATTAATTGAAGCAAGTTTTTGAAAAGATTTCTTTTCTATACATTAAATGCATTGAAAGACTAATCATAAAATCAGAGCTCAGTAATACACTTAAGAATGGCATTCTGGGGAAATGATTAATTGCAATCTCTAGTATAGCAGATGCACTATTTCCACATAGGGGAGTATGTTTTGGCTAAGGATATAATAGACTCGCCTGTGCCTTGCCCTCTCTTGGCTGAATGTGTACTCACACATTATCATTTTTCAGCAGCTTTTATACAAAGTTTTAAAAAATCCAAAAGCCTCAAAAAATTGGGGAGTAAATATTACATGGTGCTGCTGAGACTCACCTTATAAAACCAAACACCTGCTTCTTGTGCACACTGAAGTTTTTCACTGTACTTTTTTTTCCCTCTTTTGGTCCAATTTTATACCATCTGAGAGAAACCAGGCCAGGCCATCCTTATAGGGAATTTTTCCATAACCCAGCAGTCACTAATTTTTAAGGTCAGGGGCAATTTCCTGCCTAACATGGAGCAAAGAACCTCTCACAGGAAATCCTGCAGTGAGAAAACTGGTTATCCTTTCCATATAATCTAGGAAACTGCAGGCTGCTTAAATAGTCCACAGCATGCACAAGTGCTATCTCACCAGCCAATGAATGTGCTGATGTTGCTCTTTAAAGCAAGCATAAACCAGCAGCACATTGGGAGGAAGCTTGTGTCTGCACTACTCTGTCAGCAGCAAGAGCAATAGCAGAGCTATCACGCATGTGTGTCCCCCCACCCCTGAACTGGGCTCTCCAAAAAACAGCAGTTTTGGAAAAGAAAACTTAAGGTGAGAGGCAGTCTCTCAGTTCTTTGATGAACTGATAGGGTTAAAAGCAGCCTAGCAAAAGTCAGCTATGTTATCCTCTGAGCTGTTTGAATCCACAGCACAAAGAGTTTGTACCTAAACAACTGATGTAAACAAGACTTGGCTGCTGCCTTAAATACTACAGATAAGAGTCCAAATCTGGGGCAGATTTTGCCTGGATCACAGCATCTTTGTGTTTCTCATTCACAAAACCCACAGAACTATGTTCATCCAGTCTTCACACCAATCAAGCTGTGCTAGACTTCAAGTTGCACGGAGGCAAGACTCTTAGGCCTCATTCCACCATGAAGGTGGGGTGTATGCATTCACTGTTACCAATCAGCTCTAATTACTAGCACATTAACCACCTTTTTCCTTGCTTGTAGTTGAAGGTGAAGGAAACCACGTGCGGACTCCTGCTTCCAGCAACAGCCTCAAGCTCAAAGCCCTTCCACACTGGAAAACGGTGGCTCCCTCAGCTCCATGCCACCCTGGAAGGGCTACATAGCAGCATCAAATCCACCGCGCCACTCCAGCCTGCAGGGTCAGGCACCAGGAGATGAGCAGGGCAGCCTGGAAAGCAGTGCTTCTTGAGCATAAGGACATTACAGGTTCCTCTGAGCATCTAAAGCAACTCTCCACTGGACCCAAGTGAGTGACTGTAGATTGTGTATATGGTTTTAGTTGTAGCCAACGAAGTCCACACTGTTACAGGACTTCTGTCCCATTGAATGCTGCTGTTCTGCCAGCACTCCCACACCCAGAGACTGCACTAGTTGGGGACCTATTCTGTACATCACTTTTTCTTTAACACTGAAGGCTCAATTTAGATTGTTATTTTTTATTTAAATATGTCCTAAGATGCTTTATCTGCTAAACACATTAGATGACAGATATATATATATATATATATTTAGATAAACAGTTTTTATTTAAACATTTGAAATCTGGAGCTGCCTGTGTAACCATACCAGACATGAATACGTCCACAACTCTCCTCATCTCAGTGCCCTGGTATCAGGTCCTAGAAGGACACCACGGGAAGAGTTCCCATGGATGGATGGAACCTGTCGCCTGAGGCTGAGCAATAGGACAGAGGAGAGAGTTGCACTGCACTGGGTGTGCTGGTGGTTGTTACAGAAAGGCCCCAAACTTTGGACAGAAATACTAGGGGCTCCAGATTTTGCTCAGTATACTAAATTCAGCCTTGCCTAGGAGGTTCACAGGTTTCTAAAATACCAAAATCCATCTGGCTGAATTGCTTTACCAAGGGCCTGGTAGTGCAATACTGCTGTGCCAGTAACATCATGCTTTGTTTACATGCATATCATGTTATGTGTATTGTCAGTGCTAATTCTCCCTCATCAGTATTTTCTGAGCAGGCAGCTGATACTCTATAGTGCTGTTCCCTTTGGAGCAATGGTTCGGCCATGCATGTCCATCTCCACACACACTGTCCTAGATTGCTCTTAGTGGGGTGCCTCTTAATCATTTATCTTCAAGACACAAGGCCAGTGTCTGAACTATGTAAAAGAGTTTCAAATGCAGAAGAGTGTAGCTGTAAAGCAGTCAGAGCATCATTTCACAAGAGTCTTGTTTCTTGCACTTGACCTCCACAAGCCAAATTTATGCTACGCCAGCTTAATACTGCAAGAGTGACAGGAAGGAAGGAGAGCACAGGCCCTGGAGAGAGTCAGGCTTCCAGAGAAAGGGCGTTTGTACAGTGAACTTCTCACTCCCTTTTTTCTGTTTAGCTGTCTCCCAGAGGTCAGACTTTCCAGACCTCCTTCTAGGTTATGCACCCAGACAATTTGGGTGTACCTCACTCTTGTGTTCATGTACAATGAGCAACTGTGGTTAAGCTGCAAGTATGACTAAATCAGCAAAGGAAATGGAAAACCGGGACTGGATGTGAGTTACATCTCCAAGTTGGCTGTTTGTGCTGTAGCTTTGTTCAGACATAAGAAGGTAGAGGTAGTAAATCTGGGTTTTATCTCCAGTTCACTTCCAGGATGTGCTGCAAACTACAGCAATGCATTGTACTAGAGATGGTTGGTAATTCCACCAAACTGGTCACTATTCCTACACTGCCAGTGTATTGAGGGTGATTCCTATAAAAATCTGAGCATTTCCTCTTCATCTGTCACGTAAAATGCTTAAACAATGGCTCTAGAGTTGGCTGAACAACTAAGCCAGAAATTTTCCTTGAGTGCTTAGGCATCCTCTGGGAAACAGCAAATGGATGTTAGAAAAAATAACAAAAAGCAAATCCAAAACAATTTTTTGTTTCCCACCTTATGCCCCTATTTACATTTGCAGGGGAAATACCGACACTGTAGAAGCCAAATATTTGGCTTTAAAGGCACATGAATTTCTGATTCCCATTAAGAAATTCCTTGTTAAGATGGTTAAAAAGAAACAAGGCAACCCAACAATTAGTCATTTCATTTCAGATACCAAAGAAGATTAGCCTTATTTCCTGAGCTGCTTTTCTGATAGGCTCTCTCTGTTTTAGCATTTATTGTCAACAAAATGAAGCATTCCTGCTCAAGTTCAGAGGTCAGGAATTGTCCTTAAACTTAATTCCCTGAAGGCAACAATGAAAAGGGAACAAAGTGTTTTATAGTTTTGCCATCTCTCCTTGTTTGTGCCAAACCCAATCCTTGCTGGAGAAGCACAGCACTGTTACAGGAGGCCAGCTTTATCTTCTGTGTATATGAAGGAAATTGCTGTGGATGCTTTTTTAACAAGGAAAAAGGGACATGAGCAAGCAAGGGAGTGAGAAGTGAGTTCTACTTGCAGCAGTCCCAGGCCAAGGGATCCCTGAATCCCTCCCACATGTTCCAGGCTAAGCAAGAGAAGCCTAAGCAGCAACCAGAATAGCTCAGTGAAGATGAACAGGAGAAGGGACAGGAATCCCTGCTGCTGTCCCTTTACATGTTGTGATCTATACCTTAATGGCTGAAAGCGGAATGGTTGGATTTCTTGTTGAGTGTGTCTTGTTTTAGCTGCATGTTTGTATTCCTAACTGGAAGAATTGTTCAGTTAGAGCTCCTATAAAAGAATTTGATCTATTAGAGTGAAACCAGCTCATTTAGATCAAGGGTCTACAGCATTAAGTCAACAAGAAGAGGTACATCAAATCTGGGCATGAAATATCCATGTCATCAAACAGAAACTGGACCTATGTTGCCATCCATGTCCCCTCCTTGGGTTCTAAGGTAGTATTCCCCATACCAAGATGTTGGCCCATTTCTGCCAGTATGCAACTGGAGGAAAATTTAGACTGAATACACACTGCTTATATCAAAGCTGAAGAGCAACTCTTATTAAAATTAGTATTTGTTTTTTTAAAGAAAGGCTGTTAATTTGAAAAGATTTTAATTGATTTTAAATACATATCTTTTAGAACCCACCACAGCCAATGAAGCAAGATTCCAGTCTATCACCTAAATAAATAGTTGTTTAGATCAATGTTATGTTTCAGACTCAAAACTTCAACATAAGATTAAATAGTCCCAATTAGAACACAAATACTTTTAAAGCCCCTGACCTCTTGCACACAAAATGACTTAGTATAAATGTCTGAAAATTAGTGTGCATAAAAAGCAGCTCTTGAATGCGTTTGAAAACATGGGAAAACAGCACCAAAAGGGAGCAAGCACTACTACTCATATCCTCCCATTCCAGCACACATACATCTCCTCAGAAGAAAAGCCAAGTGAGGGGTAAGGCAGACAGGGGATGGTCCAGGATGCCCTTTTGAATCGTGACAACTTTCTTCTGCTTCACTTCATGCACGGTGTGTGGTTTTGTTTTTAAGCAAGCATTAACTCCCTCTGCAGCCAGTACTTTGCACCAATGTATTTGCTATGAAGCAACTAGACTGCTTGTGCACAGCAAGAGGAAGAGGTAATGGGAACTGCACAGAGAGGCAAGAAAATTACCCAAAAAGCAACAAGCTGCCAAACCAAGTAACCACACTGCCTCCTGCTGCTGTCACTTGGAGCTAGAATCTGAGTGGGGGAACCCAACAGCCTCTCACCTTTTACAGAACTAGCTAAGAGAGAACCTCAGGGTGACAGAATCCTATGAAATGAATGGATGTACTCTGGAAAGCAGAGTTCTTCTCTGCACCTTCTGCCCTAATTGTTGTCTTCTCTGTTTGCTTTATTGTTTGGTAAACCAGCGCTTACTATCACCTTTACTACGTGATGTATGGGAGTATACAGTGTATTTTCTTGTTATACAAGGAGGAGTATAAAATAGTTTTCTGATTTCTTTCAGAAGCAAATGACTATTTTATTTTTTAAGAGCAATTGATTGTGAATCTCAGAGTATAAAAAAAGAGAAATAAGCCAAATCTATACCTTTATGTAAATTAAGAAATAAAAGTATTTAAAACATACCTCCTGTCTGCCTCTCCTCTATCACCACTTGATCTGATTGCACGCTCCTGTGGTTGCTGCCTGTAGAGCTGGTTCCTAGGATGAGGTTGCCCTCAGCTCCTGCCAGAAGCACTCTGACATGGGTTGCAGTGAACACACCTGGGCAGCTGCCTGCCTGGAGCTGGTTTAAAAGCAACACCACAAGCAGGGAGCAGGGAGCAGAGAGAGCCAAGGGGTGGTGGATGACAGCCCCCCCTAAGCTGGCTGCCTAGATCTAACCCAGGGGCAGAGCTGACAAGGATGTAATGGGCAGAGATAGAACCCTGCTCCATACTCTTCCAGGCCTTTAAAGCAAGCAACATGTGTGAGAGGTGAAAGTCCTGGCTGCTCTGATTGACAGAGGGCTAACATGCTGGAAGCTGCAGATTTGGGAAGATTTGGGAAGCAGGGCAGGAAATCATTCCCAAGGCAACAAGATTGCCATTCTCCAGGGATCCTGCATCAGCCACCTCCCAACTCCCTGGTTTGGTGGTTGCTTGGTTCTGCTGCTTTAGCTGCACTCTACTGCAGCACACCCGCCCTCCTGCCCCAGTCTGCACTGGCAGCACAAACAAGGCATGTCTGCAACTAAGTGTCTCCTCTAAGCAACTTTGGAAGAGTCCTCCATCTCCTACAGTTCTCTGCAGCATCTCCCTTCAGCACTCATTCCCTTCAGCACAGTGCACATGTCCAGGCTAGGAGGCCCTCCTGCTAGCAAAGGATTTGTCTGCCTAAAAAATCAACTCTGATCACTTTTTGGCAGAGTCCCTCAAGGCTTTCAGCTCCACTGTATTGCATAAAAGACTTAAGCAAGATTTTATGAATTTTGATGTTCCAACAGCTAAGATCAGCAGCTCAGCAGCCTTAGCATCCATCAGCCAACAACAGCTAACTGCCCATACCAGTCACTTCTTCTTGGAGCACAGACATACATGTGCACATCCACAATGGTTGTGGGTAGCAGGGACTGAACAACAAGGGCACCAGCTAAAACAGCCTCACACAGCCCTGCTCCTCCCAGCTCCACCTGCTTGGGACAACAGACAGGAGAGCTCCTTGAGCTCTGGGGACTGCAGCTATTTACTTATATTTGGAAGAACCCTTCAGCTCTCCTCCTGCCAAAGAGCTTCAGAGCCCAGTATGGCTGGAAAGACTTTCTTAAAATCAAAGCCTATCCCCTGACAGCCCTAAAGGTCCAGCAGCAGACAGGACATGAAATCGAGCAAAGTGAAGCATTCGCAACTGTTAAGACAAAAATAAGTGGCAGTGAAACACAATTTGCCTGGATTAGAGACTGCATTCTACAAACAGTGCATCAAAGACAGACTAAAATCAGGTAATTTAATTGGCGGTATAATTGTTACCAAACCACAACTCACACAATGCCTCACAGGTTTTCTGTCCCTTTTCCCCCTGGATTGCTGCACGAAGGCTGGAGAGTGAACACACAGGTGAACAGAGCGAGCAAGGAGGAAGACAGAGTCAACTCTGTCAGAAACAAGAGCCAGCACAGCTTCCGCCTCGTGCCATCCTTCCCACTTCTTCCAAAACTGGAGCCCAGTACAGCACAGCCCAGCACTGTTCCAGGTGGCCCTGCTGATGTAGAGCTCTAGGCTCAGCTTCTACTACATGATCAAGCTGCTGCACATCCTAAGAGTCAGCCCAGTGGGCTCCAGGGCTGTCCTCCTATCACACCTGTGTGCTCACCTTGCTTCCCATTCACCGCACCTGCACACTGCTTCTCCTCTAGTTGTGCAGAGCTGCAAAGACCCAGGATGTTCTACTTAGAGAAATAAGGAAAGAAATCATTAGTGAAGACACTTGAATTTTGAAACTCCTGCTCTCCTTCAGAGAATCTCCAAATCATTAAAGGTGCATGACCTGCTGGCCTCTTATATGCTGCATTTGCATAATATTTGAAAAGTCATCACTCGGGACATCAGGAGGTACATCAACATCCTGGTGCTAAGCTGGGACTGAGGTTCCAACAAGGCACTACAGCAGCTTGTCACCTTTCAGCTGGTGACAACGACTGGCAGCAGTTCTGCAGGCTGCAGCAGCAGCAAGACCCCACAATAACCTCCAGATTAATGGGTGGCTTGGGAGAAAAGCTCGGCCAACATGAGCCCAACACTAATTTGTTCAAAACTGGTTGATGTTTGAGGTGGAGAAACTCCCGATGTAGGAGAACTGCAAAGAGATGCAAACATTGGTGCTGAAGTTCTTCATCATCACAGCTGCCAACCTGCAGCCTGAGCCTCCAGTCTGTGCCTCTGCCCAAACGGTGTTAGACTTGAAGAGCCCAGCTCCAGTCCGCCTCTCCCTCTGCATCCAGGGCAGACACAGGCTGTGTCTTCCAGAGACAAAGTGCTCCTCACTGCTGCCTCCACGGGGTAACAGAGGAAGAGCTGTGAGGGCAGAACGTGAAATGCAGGGAAAGAAAGCACATTGCTGAGCCCTGCCAGCAGGCAGGCACTGCAGCTCCAGCCCTTACCTGCTGCTGCCAGAAGCCAGCTCACTCCTTGGGATGCCCAACAGACCTCACATGATTGCTGCTGTGAGTGGAGCACTGTGCCTTACCAGGGCACTGCAACTGAATGGGATCGCATTGCTGCCAGCAGCCACCTCCCAGGGAGTCTTATGCCATTTGAGAAAAGACACTGCAAAGGCAGATAAACAGCCGGGGGCAAACACAGCCCTTCACTTCCTCCAAAAGCAACATGACATTTCCTTTGCCCATAACCCATGTAGTGTAGAACAGACCCACCTGCAGGAAGAAAGCCAAAGGCACTTCAGAAACAGCCCTGCTCCTGGGCCCTCTGCCTCAGCCTTCAGCCTCAGGTCCAACCTCCAAGAGCGTGGTGGTCAGCAGGTCAGGGAGAGGAAAGGAGGGATGAGGCTGCACAGTCTGCTGGCCTGGCAGACTAACAAATCAATTAGCCACTGCAATTGTTTTCACTGCTTTATTGACATCCCTGTGCTATCACCAGGGACATCACCCCTCTTGCACCCAGCAGCAAAGGGCTGTGCAGGGGAAAGCAAAAAAGCAACACCATTCTAGTTACTGATGACATCCGAGCGGCCCAGATTGAATATATTTAACCTCAGAATATGCATATACAAGCCCATTTAACCCTCAGGCATTTAAAACAGACAGCATCTTCCGAACTGGAAAAGCTGCAAGTACTACAGGGTCTGAGGACAGAAATAGCCCTTCAGGGGAACCTCCCGCAGGGCTCAACCACACAACTCTGCAGTGTCAGCACACCTACCACGTCCCCAAGGAATCCAGGCAAGCCTCTCACTTCTGCCTTGGGGTTATCATAGAAAAATGGAGTCTGTGCTCATGAACTTGGGATGTTTGGTACTGCCAGAGCCAGAGCGGACATGGATCCCTGTGCTGCAACTGAACCTTCTACACAAGTCAGACCTGCAGCTTCAGAGCTTGGCATCATGGAAGGTTTATTTCAATTCAAGGAGGGCATAAAAATATAGTTATAAAAGATATTAAAACAGTCCTCTGAGTCACATGAGCCATGCCAGACCAGGGTGAGTCCATGAAGTTTACTCCTGCAGCATGGCAGATTTTTTCTCTTTCCTTTTCTTCTTGGCTTTGCCCTGCTTCTGCTGGGTCTCCTGGCTGACATCCCCCTTGGCTTTCTTTGCAGCTGGAATCTGCTCAGCCTCATTGCCTACATCACCTTTTCTTTTTCTATTCCTCTTCTTCTTTCTCTTCTTCTCAGCCACAGTATCTCCACCATTAACAGCTCCATTCCCACTGCCCTCCACTGCCACCCCATTCTCTTTGACCCCTTTGTTCTGCTTCCTGTGCTTCTTGCTACCAGGCAGGCGGTTGTCTTTTTGCTCAAGGGTTTCTGTTCCCAGTGGCTGCTCCTCTGTGGCTGGTGAGTCTCCACTTTCACTGGCTACTGGTGCTGCTCCATTCTCCCGGACAGCTTTCTTGCGATTCTTACGCTTTTTGGTCTCTGGTAGGAACCCTTTCTTCTTACGCTTCAGTGGCTCTGCTTCCTGCACAGGTTTATTGGCTGTCTTCTCTTTCTTGGGCTTCCTGCAGAGAGAACACCAAAAATCAAGAGCAACTCGTTTTACAACCAGAAGCAAAGCGATCCACATTGCAGGCAGCCACAAACAGGCAGAAGCCCAAGAATGATGCAGGAAGCACAGGCACACTGTGAGGATGAGTGTCATCCCTGGAGTGGTCCCAAGCCTGCAGAGGGGACAGCTAACCAAGCTGCGGGGCTGCACAGGCACACAGAGGCTGGAGAAAGAAGCCCCATTTCTCAAGCAGAACCACCCATGGCCCCAAGCAAGGCTACAGAGATGCTGTCTCTCTGTTCTGAGCAAAGCCTGTTGTACTGCTCTGCACCAGCTCAGTCTCCAGAAGGGAATCCTGACAAGGAATAAGGCCCCAGTTCCATGGCCTGGCTTTCAGTGCAAAGTCTTCTGGAGAATTTTTCAAGCAGTGTCAGTTCAGAGTGGAAAAAAACTGCCCTGCCAAAACTTGCCTCTCAGTACTTCCAGGAGCCCTGGGTGCAAACCACAGCTTGTACCTACTTACCTGCACAAAGACCTCTGGATGTCACAGCACAGTGGCACCAACAATGACAGCAGGCTGCACCCACAAACCCCAACCCTTTCCCCAGGCAGTATGCACAAAGTCAGTGTTTCCTACCAGGCCCTGAGCACACTGTCTACTTGCTGCTAAAACTGACATTCATCTTGGGACAGACCTTGCAGTACGGTGCCAAGCGACCTGTGTGAGGCTGCTCCTTGTGCAATCCCTCCCTGCCTGTGAGCCTCTCACAGTGAGCCCTCTCACAGTGAGCCACATGCAAGCATTTTCCCCAGAACCAAACTGTACTGAGATCCCACAGACCAGGCCACCCACACACTGAGACTGCAAATCCCAATCATTAGGAGATCTACCCAACACTTCCTGAACACTGTGCACATCACTAACATTGCCAGAAGGAAGGGGAAACAAGAATTCCAATTACAAGCTAGTGATAGAAAGGAGAAAGAAGATCCTGCCCTTCTTTTCCCCTGGAGCAAAATTCAAATCCAGATGCCATTTAGCACAGGAGTATTGACTGAATGCTTTCCAGCTTTCAAAGCTTCAAGGCAAATGTGACTGGGGATCCAGGCACCAAGGATCCCAAAAATCACTGTAAGGGGTTGAAGGTCCTGGCACAGTGTCCCTGGTAGAGAAGTACCTTGATTTGTTTTCCTACCTCCCCACATGAAAGAGTAGAAGCAGGACAGGCAGTCAGCTGCCAAGAAGCCAAGAAGCCAGAGTGCCAGGCATACATACGTGTAATTCAGCCATCGCATGACGTTCCAGTAGAGAGAGTCGAGCCGTGCCGACTTCCCAATGCCTTCCTGCTGGCTCAGAGCTACCAGCACTTTGTCCAACTCCATCAACTCCACGTGCAGCTTCTGCAAGAGGCAAGTGCAAAACAATCAGCAGTGAGCTTCGAAGGGGCACTCATGGCTGCAGGGCACAGCACATCCTCAGGAGAAAACTGCATCAGGAACAACCAAGCTGCCTGGTTTCTCCAAGCCTCAGCCCTGAGCCCATCCACTGCAATGTGGGGCAAAAATAGGCAATTCATGCCCCCATCAAGTACAGAGTTTTATTGAAAACTGGTCTCTAGCTTGACAGCTGTGAGTCTAAGCCAGAACTGTACCAGCATGAAAGGAACAGAAAGATCCTTTAGTCCTTTTTCCTTTACAGACCATGACTGGGGGTGTAGGGATGAAGATTATGTACTGTGTACCTATCTATCAGCAAAGCAGCAGCATTTTCAATCCAGCTTTTAAAGGATGCAATCACACTGCCTCCAACTGCCTCTTACAGCTTCTGTGACCCACGGACCCGTTTCAGTGAAACCAGACAGAAAGGGGTGTCTCCAAGGCTATTCAGTGCTACAAGAGCCCTGGAAATACTCTCTCTCCCCACCCACTTTCCTATTAGGTCTTCACAAAGAAACAGGCTGTGCTGTGGGCTCAGTGCTTATCAGTAGGAAACTGGGCTTCAGCAATTATGCTGCTTGTGTTATTTTGCTCTAGTAAATAAGACCACGTTGGAAACTTATTTTGTCACCTATAGAAAATCTCATGCTCAAAAAAGCCCTTTTCTTTAGGGCTGAACAATGTGTCACTCCCACTCACAAAGCTGCTGGATAAGTCCCAGTTTCAGGTAATCAGTCTCTGGGGTTCAGTGAAGAGGAAAGAGCAATCAACTGAGGTGAAACCCAGCTCACCCTCACCGCACCCTAGGCTGTATTTCTCCTGA